CTGTTCCACAAAGTGCCCGGGGATACACGAACACTGATCCACAAAGTGCCCGGGGATACACGAACACTGATCCACAAAGTGCCCGGGGATACACGAACACTGTTCCACAAAGTGCCCGGGGATACATGAATACTGATCCACAAAGTGCCCGGGGATACACGAACACTGATCCACAAAGTGCCCGGGGATACACGAACACTGTTCCACAAAGTGCCCGGGGATACACGAACACTGTTCCACAAAGTGCCCGGGGATACACGAACACTGATCCACAAAGTGCCCGGGGATACACGAACACTGATCCACAAAGTGCCCGGGGATACACGAACACTGTTCCACAAAGTGCCCGGGGATACATGAATACTGATCCACAAAGTGCCCGGGGATACACGAACACTGATCCACAAAGTGCCCGGGGATACACGAACACTGATCCACAAAGTGCCCGGGGATACACGAACACTGTTCCACAAAGTGCCCGGGGATACACGAACACTGATCCACAAAGTGCCCGGGGATACACGAACACTGTTCCACAAAGTGCCCGAGGATACACGAACACTGTTCCACAAAGTGCCGGGATACACGAACACTGATCCACAAAGTGCCCGGGGATACACGAACACTGATCCACAAAGTGCCCGGAAATACACGAACACTGTTCCACAAAGTGCCCGGGGATACACGAACACTGTTCCACAAAGTGCCCTGGGATACACGAACACTGTTCCACAAAGTGCCCGGGGATACACGAACACTGATCCACAAAGTGCCCGGGGATACACGAACACTGATCCACAAAGTGCCCGGGGATACACGAACACTGTTCCACAAAGTGCCCGGGGATACACGAACACTGATCCACAAAGTGCCCGGGGATACACGAACACTGTTCCACAAAGTGCCCGGGGATACACGAACACTGATCCACAAAGTGCCCGGGGATACACGAACACTGATCCACAAAGTCCCCGGGAATACACGAACACTGTTCCACAAAGTGCCGGGGATACACGAACACTGTTCCACAAAGTGCCCTGGGATACACGAACACTGTTCCACAAAGTGCCGGGGATACACGAACACTGATCCACAAAGTGCCCGGGGATACACGAACACTGATCCACAAAGTGCCCGGGGATACACGAACACTGTTCCACAAAGTGCCCGGGGATACACGAACACTGATCCACAAAGTGCCCGGGGATACACGAACACTGTTCCACAAAGTGCCCGGGGATACATGAACACTGTTCCACAAAGTGCCGGGGATACACGAACACTGATCCACAAAGTGCCCGGGGGATACACGAACACTGATCCACAAAGTGCCCGGGGATACACGAACACTGTTCCACAAAGTGCCCGGGGATACACGAACACTGTTCCACAAAGTGCCCGGGGATACACGAACACTGATCACAAAGTGCCCGGGGATACACGAACACTGATCCACAAAGTGCCCGGGGATACACGAACACTGTTCCACAAAGTGCCGGGGATACACGAACACTGATCCACAAAGTGCCCGGGGATACACGAACACTGATCCACAAAGTGCCCGGGGATACACGAACACTGTTCCACAAAGTGCCCGGGGATACACGAACACTGATCCACAAAGTGCCCGGGGATACACGAACACTGTTCCACAAAGTGCCCGAGGATACACGAACACTGTTCCACAAAGTGCCCGGGGATACACGAACACTGATCCACAAAGTGCCCGGGGATACACGAACACTGATCCACAAAGTGCCCGGGAATACACGAACACTGTTCCACAAAGTGCCCGGGGATACACGAACACTGTTCCACAAAGTGCCCGGGGATACACGAACACTGTTCCACAAAGTGCCCGGGGATACACGAACACTGATCCACAAAGTGCCCGGGGATACACGAACACTGTTCCACAAAGTGCCCGGGGATACACGAACATTGATCCACAAAGTGCCCGGGGATACATGAACACTGATCCACAAAGTGCCCGGGGATACACGAACACTGATCCACAAAGTGCCCGGGGATACACGAACACTGATCCACAAAGTGCCCGGGGATACACGAACACTGATCCACAAAGTGCCCGGGGATACACGAACACTGATCCACAAAGTGCCCGGGGATACACGAACACTGTTCCACAAAGTGCCCGGGGATACACGAACACTGATCCACAAAGTGCCCGGGGATACACGAACACTGATCCACAAAGTGCCCGGGGATACACGAACACTGATCCACAAAGTACCCGGGGATACATGAACACTGATCCACAAAGTGCCCGGGGATATACGAACACTGATCCACAAAGTACCCGGGGATACATGAACACTGATCCACAAAGTGCCCGGGGATACACGAACACTGATCCACAAAGTACCCGGGGATACATGAACACTGATCCACAAAGTGCCCGGGGATCCACGAACACTGATCCACAAAGTGCCCGGGGATACACGAACACTGATCCACAAAGTGCCCGGGGATACACGAACACTGATCCACAAAGTGCCCGGGGATACACGAACACTGATCCACAAAGTGCCGGGGATACACGAACACTGATCCACAAAGTCCCCGGGGATACACGAACACTGATCCACAAAGTGCCCGGGGATACACGAACACTGATCCACCAAAGTGCCCGGGGATACACGAACACTGATCCACAAAGTGCCCGGGGATACACGAACTCTGATCCACAAAGTGCCCGGGGATACACGAACACTGATCCACAAAGTGCCCGGGGATACACGAACACTGATCCACAAAGTACCCGGGGATACACGAACACTGATCCACAAAGTGCCCAGGGATACACGAACACTGATCCACAAAGTGCCCGGGGATACACGAACACTGATCCACAAAGTGCCCGGGGATACACGAACACTGATCCACAAAGTGCCCGGGGATACACGAACACTGATCCACAAAGTACCCGGGGATACACGAACACTGATCCACAAAGTGCCCAGGGATACACGAACACTGATCCACAAGTGCCCGGGGATACACGAACACTGATCCACAAAGTGCCCGGGGATACACGAACACTGATCCACAAAGTGCCCGGGGATACACGAACACTGATCCACAAAGTGCCCGGGGATACACGAACACTGATCCACAAAGTACCTGGGGATACACGAACACTGATCCACAAAGTGCCCAGGGATACACGAACACTGATCCACAAAGTGCCCGGGGATACACGAACACTGATCCACAAAGTGCCCGGGGATACACGAACACTGATCCACAAAGTGCCCGGGGATACACGAACACTGATCCACAAAGTGCCCGGGGATACACGAACACTGATCCACAAAGTGCCCGGGGATACACGAACACTGATCCACAAAGTGCCCGGGGATACACGAACACTGATCCACAAAGTGCCCGGGGATACACGAACACTGTTCCACAAAGTGCCCGGGGATACACGAACACTGTTCCACAAAGTGCCCAGGGATACACGAACACTGTTCCACAAAGTGCCCAGGGATACACGAACACTGTTCCACAAAGTGCCCGGGGATACACGAACACTGTTCCACAAAGTGCCCGGGGATACACGAACACTGTTCCACAAAGTGCCCAGGGATACACGAACACTGTCCACAAAGTGCCCAGGGATACACGAACACTGTTCCACAAAGTGCCCGGGGATACACGAACACTGATCCACAAAGTGCCCAGGGATACACGAACACTGTTCCACAAAGTGCCCAGGGATACACGAACACTGTTCCACAAAGTGCCCGGGATACACGAACACTGTTCCACAAAGTGCCCAGGGATACACGAACACTGTTCCACAAAGTCCCCGGGATACACGAACACTGTTCCACAAAGTGCCCAGGGATACACGAACACTGTTCCACAAAGTGCCCAGGGATACACGAACACTGATCCACAAAGTGCCCGGGGATACACGAACACTGATCCACAAAGTGCCCGGGGATACACGAACACTGTTCCACAAAGTGCCCGGGGATACACGAACACTGTTCCACAAAGTGCCCAGGGATACACGAACACTGTTCCACAAAGTGCCCAGGGATACACGAACACTGTTCCACAAAGTGCCCAGGGATACACGAACACTGTTCCACAAAGTGCCCGGGGATACACGAACACTGTTCCACAAAGTGCCCGGGGATACACGAACACTGTTCCACAAAGTGCCCAGGGATACACGAACACTGTTCCACAAAGTGCCCAGGGATACACGAACACTGTTCCACAAAGTGCCCAGGGATACACGAACACTGTTCCACAAAGTGCCCAGGGATACACGAACACAAACTCACATGAAAGCTAAACAATAAGAAATATATTAAAAATACGTAAGATCATTCACATCAACAGCGCTGTATAGCCCTTGTGGCTTAGCGCTTCTTTTTGATAATAATAATAATAATAATAATAATAATAATAATAATAATAATAATAATAATAATAATAATAATAATAATAATAATAATAATAATAATAATTCACAAGAATGCAACTTTCTCAAGATTGGATAAACAAAATGGCTGCAATGATGCCTATGGAAAATCGAGTGAAAAAAGGCAGTAAATATTAGCAAGTGTCTCGGAGACAGTTCTTAACAATATAAAGTTATGTACAAACACAGTGTCTAAAAGACAGAGATGTCGACGAGAAAAAATATCTACGAGAATGGTCTACATGTGTTGAAACTCGCGAAAAACTCTTGAGATTTTTAGAAAATCCGTAAAAAATGCTCACTGAGTGTGTTTGGGGGAGGGGGCTCCATGGGCTAATATTTTACCTTTTCTTGTGTCATGAGCATTAATTACCTTGAATGCTGTGGAAAAGTTTTCACTGGGGATATAGTCTCCTGAGTAAGGATAATATGATTTATATTCTTAGGGGCAATACATCGCCTGGAAAATGGGGAGAAAAGATGCAAAAAGGGATGCAAAAGGGATGCAAAAAAAAAAAAAAAAAGATGGAGGACTTACTGATTGTGATGAGGCCGGAGCTGAGCATTGAGAGTTGGATACGGTCAGGAATGGCAGAGAGGGACTTGGAGGAGGTGCTGAGGAATCTCGTCTTCTTCGGCTTGTCATTGCTTCTTGTTTTTGAGCGGCCTTTCCTGCCATCTTTGAAGCCTCTGACGGGGACGTGATCTTCCCCTACGACGGTGGAGTCGATGACAGCGCCGCCCCCCGCGGAGGACGAGGCGGCGCTGTTGCTGGTAGACATGGCATCTCTCTCGCGCATCATCCTCGGCTCGAGCAACACCTTCAGTAGCTCGCACTATTCCACAAACTGGCCAGCTTCAGGTGGGGTCGCTATACGAAACATGGACGCGCCACTACCCGCCCCCCCCGGTACCGCCACGGAAACGCGCTCGTGCGCGCGCGCACACACACACACCTGCAGGCACTTCACCGGAACTCCGCCGGGCACGGCCGCGATGAAAGGGGCGGCGAGAGGGCACACTCTGAGCACACAGGGGTATGGGCACGGCTCTGAGCTCTGTCCCAGAGGTACTGCACCGCTAGCTTACCCCACACCTGCGCGGCTAAAACCGTGGCAGCACCCGGGGTCCACGCCAAGTATGCGCCCCCGGCCGCCAGTGGTTGCCCGAGTCTGATACCCAGCGCACACCTCACTGTTTGAGGCGATACATTAGACTGGGGCACCATCCTATCCTTCATCTCGTACCTCTCTGACTCCCACCCTCAGTACCAATAACATGCATGACACTGGGGTATTCCTGAGGGGCTATCCCAAGTCTTTATTTTCTTCTGCAATACGTTAAGTCCTTGTCCTGCGCCCCTGGCAGCGGTGCACTGAAGTCTATGCAGTAAACTTCTTTATTATCTTCGGTCTGAAGCCATAATGCTTGGCACAGAATCTTCCCCACAAAATCAACTACTATACATTAAAAACAACTTACAAGCATCTATGGGATGGCGTCTGCCTACTGAGGATGTCACAGTGGCGAGTGCTGGGCTCTGATTGTCCAGTTAATGTTTACAGTGTTGGGCTCTGTGTGTCCAGTTAATATTTACAGTGTTAGGCTCTGATGGTCCGGTTAATGTTTACGGTGTTGGGCTCTGTGTGTCCAGTTAATATTTACAGTGTTAGGCTCTGATGGTCTAGTTAATGTTTACAGTGTTGGGCTCTGATGTTTACAGTGCTGGGTTCTGAGTGTCCACTCACTGTATATGTTTAGCTAACAGTTCAGGTGTTTGTGTGTAGCACGTTAGTGTTGCAAGCTGTGGATAATGCTCATTAACCTCCATCTTGTAAACGGGTGGAGGTTAATAGACATGAACCTGACTCTATGAAAGAGCCTTAGGACACCACATAGGTAAGGCCCCAGTACACGTAGAAACACTACGTGGCACGACTATTAGCTCCAGAGGAGGAAACCAATCATAGATTGCAGGAAGGGCTATGATTGCTGGGTAGGGTTAAACCATGATAAAGTCTCTACAAGAAGAAACTAAGAGTTTTTCTTTAGAGCACAGAGTAAGTTGACTCTGGTCAGCTCTCTCACAGGGACAGGATGCCCAATCTTCTCTGGATTAGCTGGTATACACTACATCATACCTTTTGATTCATATTGAATCTCTTCTCGAATTTCGTACTAGTTCATCACGTTACCAATATTAGCAGGAACTGAGTCCTGGAGATGGGAAGTACAGTGCCTGCACTCTGAAGGAGGGGTGTTAATGTTGCAGTTTAAAAACTGTAGTGTAAAGCACCCTTCTGGCAAGACAGTGATGGAGTGAATGATGGTGAAAGTTTTTCTTTTTCGGGCCACCCTGCCTTGGTGGGAATCGGCCGGTGTGATAATAAAAAAATAATAAAATAAAAATATATATATATATATATATATATATATATATATATATATATATATATATATATATATATATTCATGATTCATAACCACTTATAAGAAGAAGTAGCTGAGGGAAGGTTTTAAGTAGTGCCGGGAGAAAGTAGGTCACGTATGACTCAGTACGTGACTAATTGATTTCTTTCTATTTTTTTTAAATTTATAATAGGTATGTAACCGATAACGTCGAAACATGATTAACTTTGTAGCTACGAAGGTCTTCCACGGGGCGGGAGTTCTCGAAGATGTATGTGCGAAACATGACAGCTACAGCAAGCCTCGTGAGGCTGCCTGGCGGGTCGTCGAGAGCTCCCGCCGCTCTCCCAACATCAGAGGAATATAACGAAGCACACACAGAACAGGATGAAGACAAAGAGAACCAAACAGAGCACGATGAGGAATATGGTGATGGGCACCATGACCATTTTCGCAGTCTCGATATAGATGATCAGTCCCAAAATGAGGGCCAAGTGGATGACACACACAAGGAGCTTTGTGTTCCACCACCCTGTGGACGAGTCCACGTCACCAACTGAGCTATCCTCGTAAGTCACCGTAGGAGAGTCACAAGGCTCTCTCTCAGGTAAGTCATTCTCTCTACTGACTTCGCCTCCAAGCAACTCACCAATGCTCGTGATTCTTGAAATTGGATTTTTATCTTTATGGTCCACCTTAACATTGACCAAGAGATTCGACACATGAATCTCGGGCCAGAATTTTTCTTCTCGTGTACTTGAGGAGGCCAGAAGTCTGGCAACCCGCAGTTCGTAGCTCCGGACAGCAGCAGCTGGAACAGTGGCCTCTTCAATTATTAGTTCTTCAGAGTACCACAGCTGGCGCTGGGGAGGACTGGGGGCTGCAACGACGTTAGTCATTCATTCACCTGCCTACCAACTTTCATTGTTCATACGTATAGTCTTAGTTTCTAATTAGCGTCTGTGTATCCGTAGAGAAGTTTTCCTCTGTGAAATTAATTCTCAAATTTTCGATAGCTAAGCAGCAGAGTGCAGTACCGTGGAAGAGAGTGCACCACTGTGGAAGAGAGTGCACCACTGTGGAAGAGAGTGCACCACCGTGGAAGAGAGTGCACCACCGTGGAAGAGAGTGCACCACCGTGGAAGAGAGTACACCACCGTGGAAGAGAGTGCACCACCGTGGAAGCGAGTGCACCACCTTGGAAGCGAGTGCACCACCTTGGAAGCGAGTGCACCACCTTGGAAGCGAGTGCACCACAGTAAATCTTATTATTATTATTAATATTTATTATCTTGAGTTGGTATTCCACACAGTTTATTCAAACATTTCTCTATACATCGTCGTTCTTCAATGTGTCTGGCTGAAAGATAAAAAAAAAAATCACACAGTAGATAACAACACAGATGGATGGAAGGATCGCAAGATGACTCTAACAATCACACACACACGATAAGACTTTAAATTTATTGTGATAGTCTGCTCACGTATGTCAAATGATGTAAAATTGAATTTTTTTTTATTCTGGCAAGACTACTGACGTTTAATGTCTCGTGGATACCTAAGATGACAGGTACACCCAGGTATACCTTCCAAAATTTCTGTTTACGTCCATTATACTCGCACCTTTACTTACCTATCTGCTGTTTAATTCCTTTTATTCCTCTAATATTTCCTTTTTATAAACAAATAACCCGCCCATAGGAGAAAGAAACTTACGACGTTTCGGTCCGACTTGGACCATTGTCATTGGTCCAAGTCGGACCGAAAGGTCGCCATAAGCTTCTTACTCCCATGTGCGGGTTATTTGTGTATTCAACCTGGAATGCCGGGTCTGGGACCAAGCCCTGAGAGGTCAGGTCTGGGACCAAGCCCTGGGAAACCACCAAAATATAACAGCCAATAATAAAGCCTCAGCCCATAGCCTAGAAATTTGCAACCCAGTAATGAACAGTAATGCTCAAAACAGTCCATTGTTCATGTTGTGCAACTCAATCATTGCTCAGAGATTTGAGACCCAATCCTTGACCAATGACGTGCTACTCAACAATGCAATGTGTCATAATGTCAGGATTATTCATCATGTGACAGTGTCACACGCCAACTTATTACGTCTGTCAACTCATCACATTCCATATCAACTAGCAATTAATTCACATAAATGGTGGGAATCGAACCCATGGCACAGGAGACCTGAAACTTAAAGCTCCGTGATTTCTTTGCAATCGCGTTATTGTAATTTCGTGAGTCGACGAACAGTACACTGCGCCTTGTTAGTGTCAGCATAACTTCCCGTTTCAGCAAAAGAGGTTGAAATAGCTTTAAATATCTCTTGAGAGTACAGGAGGGCCCCGCTTATACATCAGGTTAATCTCCATACTACCGCTGTAAAGCGAAAATCGCTGTAAAGTGAATCATAACTTTATTTTTAACTTTCAAATGCATATTAAAGCACAATAACATGTTTGCATTTTCAAATATTAAGTGAGCAATAGAGGCAGGTCTAAAAACTACATGTACAAAACACTCATTACTTACCTTAAAATATTTTCGTACTTAGCTTATAGCGAGTGGTGAAAATTTTTATTGTAGGAAGTCTGAATAAATGAAGAATGGGTATAATTGAAAACCGCTGTATTAGTGATACACTGTAATACGAAGCGCCGTAAAGAGAGACCTGCCTGTATCCAACACCTGCGGCAGTTTCTCCAGCACCAAAACTGGATAAATGTCATCCTGCTGTAGAGGCTTTCTAAAACATTGCAATATCAAATTGCAATAATTTTTCATAACTAATATTAATGATGATTTAATAATATAGTATTAATTAAAAATTAGTAGGTTATATATATCATGTGTCAATATAAGATCTTCTGTATACAACGTCTTCTGAACCTTTCTTTAAGCCTCAAAGGTTCTAATTCCTTTATATTATGTGTAAGGTTGCTGAGAACTTTTCTTACTTAAATATTCATGAACAGGGTGGAAGTTGTCCACTTTGTGTGGGTGTGGATGAGTAGGGTGGAAGTGGTCTACCCTGTGTGGATATGGATGAGGTGGATGGAAGCCGTTCACCCTGTGTGGATGTGGATGACTATGGTAGAAGTCGTCCACCCTGTGTGGGCGTGAATGAGCAGGATGGAAGTCGTCCACCCTGTATGGGTGTGGATGACCAGGTTGGAAGTCGTCCACCCTGTGTGGATCTGGATGAGGTGGGTGGAAGCCGTTCACCCTGTGTGGATGTGGCTGGGGTGGGTGGAAGCCGTTCACCCTGTGTGGATGTGGATGACTATGGTAGAAGTCGTCCACCCTGTGTGGGCGTGAATGAGCAGGATGGAAGTCGTCCACCCTGTATGGGTGTGGATGACCAGGCTGGAAGTCGTCCACCCTGTGTGGGTGTGGATGGGCAGGTCGAAAGTCTCCACCTTGTGTGGGTGTGGATGGGCAGGGTGGAAGTCGTCCACCTTGTTTGGGTGTGGATGGGCAGGTCGGAAGTCGCCCACGCTATGTGGGTGTGGTTGAGCAGGATGGAAGTCGTCCACCCTGTGTGGGTGTGGATGGGCAGGTCGGAAGTCGTCCACCCTGTGTGAGTGTGGATGAACAGGGTGGAAGTCGTCCACCTTGTGTGGATGTGGATGGGTAGGGTGGAAGCCGTTCACCTTGTGTGGGTGTGGATGGGCAGGTCGGAAGTCGTCCACGCTATGTGGGTGTGGATGAGAAGTGTGGAAGTCGTCCATCTTGTGTGGGTGTGGATGAGGAGTGTGGAAGTCGTCCACCTTGTGTGGGTGTGGATGAGAAAGGTGGAAGTCGTCC